TAAGCCTAGGATAGCATCCAATAAGAATATTACACTTCTCGTGAACGGAGGAGAAAGAGAGCTTTCTCGGCCTTCTTGTTACAGAAAGTAGCAGTTAGGTTACAGCGTTGTCCTCCCGGGGTTGGCTTGCAAGCTTCTGACATCTGAGAATCACACAATTAGTCACTGAGACTTTTTGAGAAAAGTCTTCCGAGCACAGCTTTTTCTATGTAGAGTGATGGTTTTAGTCAATTCTATTCCTTTATTTATAAATAATCCTATTTAAGTTGTTCGGATAAGTGGGTATTGAGATTGGCGTAGCCTCACCAATCTTAGATAAATTCTTAAATATCATCATACAAAATAGGTAAAACCATTATCATCTAAGAGTTCGACTATGTTTCTGTTTTTTTCCCACTGAGATCAGAGGACTTTTTTGTTTTGTTTTGTTACTCAGAGACAAGGTCTCATGTATAAGGGCCGGCAAGATGGCTCAGTGGGTAAAGGCGCTTGCTGCCAAGGGCGATGACCTGAATTCGATCCCTGGACCCACATGATAGGCGAGAACTCTGACTCTAAAGTTATCCTGTGGCCCCCACCTGCGGAATGCCCACAAATCCCTTCCCTGTATAAACAAACAAACAGACAAACAAACAATTGTATTTTAAAAGTCAACACCAAAAGACTTATAGCCTAAATCTGAAACCTGCTCAGTTCTGACGGAAGAAACTGACAGTTATGAAATCGTGCCTTGAGCCGGGCACTCAGACCTGTGATCCTCACCCCAGATCTTCCGTCCACTCCCATGATGCCATTGAGAATTTTGGTGGTCTTTGTTGCCATGGAGCAGTATACTGAGGGTCGGGAGACCTGGCACATTCCTGGCACACAAGGTTGGAGGACCTGGTGTAAACTCACGAAGCGCGTTGCCCAGCCCCTCTGGAGGGTCCCATGGGCGAGGCTGCGGGGGCGAGCCTCGGCCGTGAGAGCAGGTGGAACTGTGGCAGGACGTGGGGATAGGACAGAAACCTCATTTGGTGAGGACCCTGCAGGGAGGCGCCCCTTTGCCAAAATCTGCTTTCGTTTAGAACACGTGGGTGGGGCTAAGGAGTGGGCGTGGGTGGCAACTCCTCTCTCAAATCAGCTGCTTAGTCACTGGGCTTTTTCGCTTCCCCTGACCTCTCTCATGGTAACTTAGTCATTAGCTCCCTAGCTAGTGATTTCCCCTACCCTGCTTTACATTCTGATTAAACCATGTGGGATTTTTTGGAGATAATTTTGCCTTTGATGTCATTTTCTTGAATGTCTGGGTTTTCTTCTGTGCCTTTTGGCTTTGGGCTCAGTTTTTGACTCTGTCTGCTGAGGCTCTCTTTCTCCTGACTTAAAGGGGAGAACTGGATCCCCTTGCTTACAGAGACCCAGTAAGGAAGGGAGAGCCTGAACTTCAGATCGTAGGCGAAGGGATCCGGCAGGATTAAAAGTGTTCTCTCACCGCAGCGTGCCTCTCCTGCAAGAGCTGGGGAAGAGATGAAGAAAGGCCTCCAAAATGAAGTTGCCGACTCGCGGTGCGCGGAGCCCTGCTAAGTGGATAGACGCTGGATGAGACCCTGGCTACTGATTTCTGGAACATGGCCCTGTGCCCGGTGTCTGCTGAGGTCATCCACCAGGTGGAGGAGTCCCTGGATGAGGAGGAGAAGGAAACGATGCTTTTCTTATGTAGAGACGTGGCTGAGAACCTGGCTCCACCTAACAACGTCAGGGAGCTCCTGGGCACCTTAAGTGAGAGAGGCCAGCTCTCCTTGGCTACCTTGGCTGAACTGCTCTACAGAGTGAGGCGCTTCGACCTGCTTAAGAAGATATTGAAGACGGACAAAGCGGCCGTGGAGGCCCACCTCTGCAGAAACCCTCACCTTGTTTCTGATTATAGGTAACTCCTGAGCTCTGAGCCAGACTGCACACGGGGGAGGGGTGGGGGGAGCCGGGCTGTCTAGATGGTGTGGGCAATGAGAAGAAGCTGCATCACTTCCTCTTCCTTCTGATCCAACTATCTGCAATACCACTTTATGGCGCGGAATGCTCTGGATTTCTGTTTGTTGGTTGGCTTTGTGTTTTTCGGAAGCCCGTTATAGCTCAGGTTAGCTTGGAACTTCCTGTGTTGCCCAGGCTGGGCCTCCAACCCATAGCAATCCTCCTGACTCGGGTGGGCTCACAGCTTGTTTGAATTCAATAAAACACAGGCTGCTTACATGGTACGCAACTGGGGAAAAGATCATAATGGAAATGGAAGGGAGAGATAGTCCGTGCGAGCTGGAAGGACAGACTGACGAGAGGAAGAAAGAAGAAGAAACAGCTTAGAGCTGCTCTTTCTTGCCCGCTCCCGACGGCGTGGGAGCAGCGGTGCTTTGGAAAATTCTGGTACTGAGAAAGAAAGTAGCAAGAGTGAGTGACCTCCCTACCGCCATAGAGCTGTGGCCCTTTCTAACTCTTCCTCTGCCCGGGCAGCCAGCCAAGGATGTGCCGCAGGGTGGGTTCGCTTCCCGTAGTCCTGCCTCTCTGCCTCTGAGGGGCCCAAGGGGGGCCTTTCTCAAGGAACAGACATTCACCCTCTTCTGGTTAAAGAGGGACGGCCATCTATCTATGTCCCTAAGTCTGAGAGCCTCGGAGGACTTCCTTCCCCATATGAGGGAGTCTCTGGAAGAACTGTGTTTTCTGAGACAAGAAGGAGACCTCTTTAAAGGAGGCCTTTAAATTGCTCCCTGTTCCTCCAGGCTGCTAGTTCTGTGGGTTGTGGAATATGTATTTGAAGATGACATTTATTATTATTATTATTATTATGAAAAGTACTGAAAAGAGCTGAAGGCAGCACGGGCTTTGTAAAGTGATGCGAGCTGGTGTTGGAAGGGCTGTGTTAAACCTCGAACGTACCAGTTACAGCCCACCCAGGCTGAGCCAGTCACTAACTTTACAAAGTAAAGAAATAACATAGTAAAGTTATGTTTACTATGTTACATAGTAACAAATGTTACTATATTCTTTAACAAAATAAAGAATAACATAGCCCAGCTAGCTGTGTCTGGTGACCTGAAATCCCAGCTACTTAGGAGACGGAAGCAGGAAGGTTGTGAGTTCAAGGCCAGCCTGAGTGGCTTAATAAAACCCTGTCTGAAAAGGTAGCGGGGACGTGTGTGTGGCGCTAGAGCTCAGTGGTAGGCCCTTGCTTAGGAGTGTGTTTGGTTCTGGGTTCAGCCCCAGCACCACAGACAGTGACTGAGCTCCACAAGTTTCCCTTTGGATAGTGTACCAAGTGGCTTTGTGTGTGAGATGCTTGGGGTTATTGCTACTCTTGGTCAAGTTTCCCTTGTCTGACCATCAGCCGATGCCACTGATCTCACGCATTTGGGGGACGCTCACTTGGCTTCAGGGACTGCATTCAGGTGCAGTAGGTAGCGATGGGCGTGTCAGGCCCTCTAGAGGAGGCTGCCGTTGAGGTCACACGATGGCCCTATTCACCTGGCTGCTCGGCAGGCTTCACCAGTGCCTAGCTAAGCTCAGGGCCCAAAAAGAATCCCAAAGAGTATGGGGGAGTCTCCCTGGGAAAGACACCTTCTACACAGGAGTTCTGATGAAGTGTGGTGGCGACCCCAGCCAGAGCAGAGGTGAATGCGTTGGGAGGGGTTTTCCAGACCAGACATTCATGGTCCGAAGCTCCATGGTGGACGTCTTTTAACTTTCAAGTGTGGGCCAACATGTCAGAGATGTTTCTTTGCTTTCGAGAATCCTGAGACTCAAAAAAGTGTGGTCCTTAGACCAGTGGTCCACAGAGAGGGCAAGGCCACTCTGAATTCGGTCTTTCCTGTTACTCACCTCTTTGATCTCACTATGACTTCTGGGAACCTAGGGGTTTTTTTCAGGGAAGTCCACTTGCACAGTTGTTCTCGGAGCTCTTAGTTAGAGAGGGAAATCCTGTGTCCTACGGCAAACAAAGGAAAGGCCAGGTGGGGTGCACGCCTGTAATTCCAGAACCTGGGAGGCAGAGACAGGAGGAAGGGTGCAGTCTGAGGCCAGTCCCTGCCCAGGAGAGCTGGGATAGTCAGGACTGCACAGCAAGAGCCGTCTCTAAAAACCAAACCACACAAAAAACAGAAGAATGAGTTTTTCTTTTTGAATTTTCTTATAGTTTCTTGGGGGGGGATATTCCATCAAGGCTTCCTGTTTTATAGAGTGGGGGCATCCTCTGTGGGACATGAATTTAGTCTAGTTGTTGGCCTTGGTGCAGGATGGGCTCTTGGATTCTTGTCTGGATTTGCTAAAGAAACTTTTGGGATTTACAGGGTGCTGATGATGGAGATTGGCGAGAATCTGGATAAATCCGACGTGGCCTCGTTAATTTTCCTCATGAGAGATTACACAGGCCGAGGCAAGGTAGCCAAGGACAAGGTGAGTTGTGTTTCCTTGGTGCCCATTCTAAGAGCTGTCAGAAGTAGGACCCTGGGGTCTGGAGAGATGGCTCAGAGGTTAAGAGCACTGGCTGTTCTTCCAGAGGTCCTGAGTTCAATTCCCAGTAACCACATGGGGGCTCACAACCTTCTATAGTGAGATCTGGTGTCCTCTTTTGTCATGCAGACAGAACACTGCACACATATATAATAAATAAATCTTAAAGAAAGAAAGAATGAAAGAATTCAGAAAGAAAGAAGCAGGGCCTGTTCCTTGTAGTATGGAGAGAGGGAAGTGGGCAGCCTGCTGCCGCGATCCCAGGAGCTTTCTCAGATAGTGTGGTAGCAAGAGAATGGGCTTTTAACTGAGAGGAAATAGTTTGGTAGTCTTTCCTCCTGTGGCCCTGGGTGTTTCTTTTATGCTTAGATTTGGTCCTGATTTCTGTAAAAGTCACCGACCTGGCTGGCTTCAACCTCAGTTCTCTGATTTGACAGCTCTCTTCCAGGCGAGGACATCCTGTCTGCTTGTGTGGGTGGAGTAGAGGCCTCAGGGGCTTGGCTTGCTGGTCCACTCTCATTTGCTGGCCCTCGGCTGTTTTACCCCCCTCAGTGGCTGTGGGTGTAGGTGGTGTGTGGTGTGTGTGGGAAGTGACAAAGATAGAGATGTCTGACCGTTTTAGAGTTGTTGGGGTTACGGGAAGGGTGTTTGAACTCCTGACACAGTTAACCTGAGAATGGGCCAAGAAGAATCTCCAACTCTGGGGGTGACATTAAGTCTTCCAGCGGGCTGCCCCGCCTTTTAGAATTCCCTCAGGCTCCTTGATTATAGACAAACAGGAAGACATCGGGTTCCAACATCAAATGTAAAGGAAGAAGAAAGTGAAAACAGGAGTTTTTGGGGTTTTTCCCTAATCAACGCCTTCCATTTATATGTAATTAATTAGGCCTCTTGTCTTTGTAAAACAATGATTAACAGTTAAGTAGCCAAATGTTAACTTGCGGGCAAAATAAAATCCAAAGCCATGCCCGCTTTTGAAATCGTGTTCTTTCCCGCCCAGCTGTTTCAGGGTGAATGAGCAGAGGGCCCCACTCTTTCTGGGAACCAACCCTTGAGTCAGAATGACCTAGAATGTCCAGGATGGATGAAGACAGTTTAAAATGGCATTGTGAGGATTTCCCATATCAACCTTTTCCTCAGCTACCCACCCCCACACTCTCTGGGAAGCACTTATGGTGTGTGGTGCTGGGGATCGCCATACATGTGAGGCAAGCATACTCTGCCACCCGAGCTACAGCCCTAGCCCCCATTTCTTTGAGTCGAATTCAGGAGGGCGATTGGTTCTGAGCAGAACTGTCACCAAGGGTTACCGGAAGGTCTTGTCTTGCCACCTTTTCCTGCTGTAATGATCACAAGGTGGCCTAGAGTTTGCATTACGGATGTATTAGCTCCACTCACGATGTGTGTTTCTTGTTGGTGATTCTCTTAGAGTTTCTTGGATCTGGTGATCGAACTGGAGAAACTGAATCTTGTTGCTGCAGATCAATTGAACTTACTAGAAAAATGCCTGAAGAGCATCCACAGGATAGATTTGAAGACCAAAATCCAGAAGTACGCGCAGTCGGGTAAGAAATTTCGGTGTCTCGGTGATCGGTGATCTTCAGTGCACAGTAGGGACGGTTGGTGGAGAGTTGTCACCTGTTGGGTGCCTGGCTGAAATGGAACCCAAGCATCCCAGGCCCCTCTAACCTACACTAAGAGATCATAGTCCTTGTAGCCTTCATATCCCAACATCCCAACCCCACTGGCAAATCTCCTGCCTCTGAAAATTGCTACCAAGCAGATCTTACCATTCTGGTCTTTAAAGAAGTCTGTTATCTCTGTTTTTAGAGGGCAGAGAGACTATGAGCTTTCAGGACTTTGATTATAGAAAGAACCCTGTTGCCCAGCTCCATGTTGGCCCCAGTGACCACCGTCCAACTCTGGGTGGTGTCACCGAGTCCGATTGCTGTCCTGTATGTGTGCTGCGTTTCACTTAACCTCATGGAAAAGGTCACTTTGGTTTTTTTTTCTTTAATTAAGGGGGTTAATCCCTTCTACCTTACACCGAACACAGGGTCACAGTGTTAGGTCATGACTGACACTTGCTTATATATAAGACAGTCTGCCCTCATTCTGAATGACAGAATCAGGAATGGCCTTAGTTTCCTTTTGAATTTAAAAGTATGTTTATTTATTTATTTATTTATTCATTCATTCATTTAGTGTGTGTATGTGTGTGTGTGCGTGTGTGTGTGCGTGTGTGCGCGTGTGTGTGTGTGTGCGTGCGTGTGTGTGTGTGTGTGTGCGCACATATACACACCCACATGTCATGTGGATGTCATTTCTTTCCTCCCACCATGTGGAGCCTGGGGATTGAAATTAGTTTGTCATCCTTTCAATCACTTTTTTTTTTTTTTTTGGTTTTTCGAAGCAGGGTTTCTCTGTAGCCTTGGAGCCTGTCCTGGAACTAGCTCTTGTAGACCAGGCTGGCCTCAAACTCACAGAGATCCTCCTGCCTCTGCCTCCCGAGTGCTGGGATTAAAGGCGTGTGTCACCACCGCCCGGCAAGTCGTTCTTACTGGTGAACAGAAGGTATCCGAGTGGATGCTTTGAATTCAGATGGTTCAGGGTTAAGGTATTTGAAAAGGTTGGCTGGGGTCTGAGGCGTTGTTGAAGACTCGTTTGACAGTTCGTGAATCTTAGCCCCTCTCTCTGTCTTTCCAGGCCAAGGAGCAGGATCAAATTACATGAATTCCCTCCAGGCTTCTCTCCCAAACTTGAGCATCAAGGAGCCTGTGTATAACTCAAGGGTGAGTCTGGAGCCGGTGTACGGAGTGCCAGCATGAACCTGCTTCAGAGGAGTCATAAAAGTGTGCATCTCATTTCATGTGTTGTAAGAACTGTACAAATAATGATACACGTGTATTTGATTAAGAACGTGTGCAACTTCTTATGATTATAAACCTTAAAGTGCTCAGCTGGTGGGCGGTGGCGGTGCATGCCTTTAATCCCAGTGCTTGGGAGGAAGAGGCAGGCGGATCTCTGAGTTTGAGACTAGCGTGGTCTACAGTGCATTCCAGTATAACCAAGGCTGCACGGAGCTGTCTCAAAAAACGAACAAACAAACAAAAGAGCTGAAGAGATGGCTCAGCAGTTAAGAGCACTGACTGCTCTTCCAGAGGTCCTGAGTTCAAGTCCCAGCAACCACATGGTGGCTCATAACCATCTGTAATGGGATCTGATTCCCTCTTCTGGTGTGTATGAAGATGGGTCACTCATATACATTAAATAAATATTTTAAAAAAACAAAAAAAGGGGAAAAAAAGAGAAGAAAAATGTGTTTAATAATATATTTGGGGAGTTTAAGGAATATGTAATAAGAAAGTATCTTATGTTCACATGTCTGTTACATAGGTATGACTATTATTAATATTTTGGGTGCTTTCTTTTAGTCTTATTTTTATGTGCATTAGCAAATGTATCTTTTTATACAGTTGGATATTTTTTCATTGTTTGTTTCTTTGAAGGCTCTCTTTTAAAATAAAAACAGATAGGATGTGCCTGTAGAAAGAAAAGCTTCAGCGTCCCCTAAGATATCTTAAAATTGTGATTTCTCCCTCCCCGGTAACACTCACATCCCAGTTACTCTCTGTTAAGGCAACTCTTCTTGACCAGTCTCTTGACCGTGCAGAGACTGTCTACATAATACAGTGTACAAGGGGTAGCACACCTTGTCATCATTCTGTACACAGGTTTCTTAGACATGGTACCACACGGTTCACGTGAGATCACACATGTAACCCTGTCTGACCTGGAATCCAATGTTAGCCCAGGCTGGCCTTGAACGGCAAGGACCTTCTCCTTGCTTCAGCCTCCTAAGTGCCAACATTGTAGGTCCGTCCTGCCAGGAGGGCTGTAGCTTCCGTTTTCTACACACACCACCATTAGTTCTTTCTTGCTGATGTGCAGATTGCCTCTGTTCTTGTGTTAAGACAAACATGGCTGCAAAATAAATATCCTGATTCTCACCTCTTTGTGCATTTTCTTTTTTAAAAAAATTAATTTAAAGCATATTTTCCTTTTTATTTTTTTTGTTTATGTGTATGCATGTGTGCCTGTATGGGTTTTTGTATACCACGTGTGTTCAGGAGCCCAGTGGAGTCAGAAGAGGGCATCAAACCCCCTAGAACCGGAGTTGCAGGCACTTGTGAGTCACCATGTGGTTGCTGGGAATTGAACTCAGGACCTCTGGAAGAGCAGTCAGTGCTTTTAACCTCTGAGCCATCTCCAGCCTTTTGCCTTTTTACTGTGTGTGTCTTAATAATTTAAAAATCGGCAAACTTTTCTTTAATGAATGACAGAACAAAATATTTATTTTTCTAGTTAATGATCGCAAGTGTCTCGTGGTCGCGTGTGGTTGTGTTCTGAGGAGCGCAGTTCATTTTGTGCTTACTCCCTGGCTAATCTTTGATCATGAGAAGAAACCTTGGTATGATGTGAACCTAACCCCCCCCCCCCTTGAAGTTATGCGGACTTCGGGGTGGATCCTTAGACTCTAGTTAAGTTTGGCGGTTGAATTATAAACACTTCTATGAGTGTCTGTCATGAAAACATCCCTCCCATTTTATAAACAGTTTCTGGGAGGATGCTGGCTATAGGAGGTACCACTGAGCAACAGACTGGCTGCTAAGGACTGCACTGCCCCACCCACTAACTGAACGATGAGGGCATGTATGTCTAAACCACAGGGATTGTGTATATGTACCTGCTACAGGCCCGGCCTGGCTCAGCCTTTGCTCATCCCACTATCTCCTGATCTATCTGTAAACCACACTCATCTCATTGCTTAGGTTTTTAACTTGTCACTCTAGTCTCCGATAGAAGACTAAGTCATAGCCGGATTTAGGATATTCTGAGCTCTCTCTCCCATTGCCTATTATTATAACTTACACTAACATCCTTAGTTAAAAATCCCTCCATGTTTTCATGGCTCTGTTTCTGTTCTGCCAATGCAGGTGGGCATCCTCCCTGTCCGTGTAGCCTGCTTGGGATCCAACATGCTTTGGGCCTCGTTTCTCTTTACGCTTGCTGTGTCTGGCACGCGACTTGATCTCTCACTTAGTATCAGGCATCGTGGCACATGAACCTGGTAGATTTCTCACAAGATTTAGGCTCTGATTAAGTCAGGATTATTCCTGGGGGGGGGGGGGGGACCGTAGCTTGCACGTCTTCAGTTTGCACACAGATGTGCCCTCAGAAGCAGCTTGCTGGATAATGTACTTCCTTCTTTGAGTCGGAGAGCTAAAGAGGTCAGCCGTTGTTGAAATACCAGTGGTCAGATGGTGGTAGGAAGTGATGTCATCTTGGAAAGTTCCTGCCATCTGAGAGGAGAGAAACAGGTCGGTTTACTCTCCCAGGAGTGGTTCTTGCAGAGTATGCGACTGTCGAGAATCACGCCCACAGATCACTTACCTCGGAGCCATAATTGGACTTTATTTATTTATTTATTTATTTATTTATTTATTTATTTATTTATTTAGGGGTCCTGCAGACTGTACTCAGGGCTTTGGATATAGACATTTATTAAGTGCTTCTGTGCACGCTAGAGTGTGCTGAGGGTTTCTGAGTAATGAAATACCACAAATACCCTTCATGGCTAAGGCCTGTGAGTAAGTTTAGCATTCAAGAGCATGGGCTCCATCCTCAGCACCCGCCTGGTGGCTCACAACTGTCTGTAGTTCCAGTCCCGGAAGATCCAATGCCTTAATTCTGATCTCCACAGACACCAGGCATATACATGCATGCAAAACTCATATATGTTAAAAAAAAAAAAAACCTCCTTAGCATCTATGTTTGGCAGGTACTATTCTATTCTTATCCTCACCTTCGCACGTGAAGAAGCAGAGAGGTAAAATGGCTTGCTCACACTTCTAGCCAGGCTGCACTTTGCCCTGGTGTTCACGGGAGGCCCTGAATGTCAGTCTCTGTCCCAGAGTGCTCTGAGTTGGGACTGTTCGAGCACCGATGCGGTACGGTAACAGCTTAGAGCCGCTATGAAGTAGTCTAGCGTGCAAGTTTAGTTCCAGCTTCAAAATGCTTTCAGTTCTGACTGGGAGAGTGGATCTAATCTTCGACAGTATCGTGTGGAACTTCCAGGGTTAACTGTCCCTGCTGTTCATATTTAGGTAGCTGCAGAGGTGATATTTTTATCACCCCCCCCACCGTGTAAAAATATTGAGCTATTTAAAGAGGTGTAACATAGTGAGCTTCCGAAAAAAACTAACAGTGTGATCTTCTTTTTTGTTTTTGAAGCTCCAGAACGGGCAAAGTAAGGAACAAAGATTTGCGGAACACCTTCACGTTCAAAGTAAGGCCCCCAATCTCTTACGGCTATTCTCTATAAATGCTTTGTAGCTTTAGTACAAGGGGCTGAGGTATAACTCAGCGGTAGAACACTTGACTGGTGCGAATGAGTCCCTGGGTTCCATCTCCAGTATCGGAAAAGGAAAAAAAATATCACACTGTTGTGTCTGGTGGTCCCTGCTTATTGACGTAGCTGCTTGAGAGGCTGAAGCAGGAGGATCTCTTGTGCCCAGGTGTTTGAGAGAGACCTTAGTAATGTGGTGAGACCCTGTCATCTAAGAAAGAGAAGAAGAAAAGAAAGAAAAGAAGGGGGAGAAGTTTCATTGTAGGGTTGGTGCTTTCGTTATCCGCATATTTTAATTAAGCTCCCAAAAGGCAGTAAAACACATTCTTCGGGTGAACTCACCGACTCATGTAGTTCCCCTCTGACTTAGCTCATCTAAACCTGGATAACATCCCCTCTATCAGGCACAGAGCCTAGGCTGTGTTTGTCAGACGAGCGACGTTAGTGCATCTGAAATGGAGCTATAGCCAGACCATGGTGAACGTTAATCCAGGCATGATAGAGAACCACAGGAAACCAAGTATCCAGCAGCAGGAAGAAAGGTTAATCTGGACCACCTCTTCCATGAAAAGAAAAGAAAAGAAAAGAAAAGAAAAGCGATTAAAATATTGTTCATTTCAATCTATATGTTCTCTTCATTCTTAAAACATCAGCTCGAGTTCTCGGCGGCATTATTTAAATTTTTGTTTGTTTTGGGATGGCTAGAGATAGAATCTTGCTGGGCTGGTATTTATGATGTAGCCCAGGCTGGCCTCAAGCTCACCGCAATCATCCCATTTCAGTCTTTGCGAGGGCTGGGATTGCAGGGATGTGCTGCCATAGCTGGCTTATAGCATCATTTTTTTTAAAAAAGGTTTTTCTTTGCTGCACGGGGACCTTTCTATAGTGAGAGTCAAGACTCAGCCCTGTACTGGTGAGTTAGCCTGTGTTTCGAGCCAGTGTGAGCAGGGCTCTATGCCGGGATGGAGGGTGGCAGGGCTACCCTAGGGCTTTTGAATCTGCTGTGTGCTCAGTAGAGGAACTCAACATGATTGGGGCAGCCGGAGCGTTTTGAGGGGCCTTGTCCCCTGATGGAGCCTTGCCCGTGCAGTTTGTGTAGGGTGCAGGCTCTGTGTGCTCCTGGAAGCTGAGAACCATTTTACCCCAACCAGCCAGATGGCGCCGCTCACGCCTGCCGCTCCCTCCCTAACATTCTTCTCTCGGGTGAAAACTGTTGAGAACGGAATTAATTCCTGAACTGACAGCCTGTTTCTTAAAACACTGCTGAGGTGGAGGAGTTAGCACTCCGAATGCCACTGAAAGTGGAAAATGGGCCGGGCGGTGGTGGCGCACACCTCTAATCCCAGCACGCGAGAGGCAGAGGCAGGTGGATCTCTGTGAGTTCGAGGCCAGCCTGCTCTACAAGAGCTAGTTCCAGGACAGGCTCCAAAGCTACATGGAAATTCTGTCTCAAAAAACAAAACAAACAAGCAAATAAAAAAGTGGAAAACGGGAGACCTGGCATGCTAGCCTGGGAACATAAAGCAAGCACTGTTATGAGAGCCACCTTTCCGCTTTGGACTGGTCTTGACTCACTAATAAAAGGAAAAGCATCCAGTTGAGTTGGCCTTAAACTAAGAAGTTTAAGATAAACAAGCCGTGGGTTCAGGTCAGTTTGGACTTCCAAATGGTTCCTACTGAAAGATCTTGATGGTGACGGTGACTGGCACTTATTGTCTGGCTGGTTCAAAATCTTTAACCAAGATAGGCATGTCTCTGAGATAGGCATTTCACTGAGAAATGCCACACACGTATTCTAAGGAAGAATAGATTGAGTACATGCCAAGGGTGCAGCAGGCTGGGCAGTAACCAGAGTACCGTCTGGAATCTAACTAATGGGGTTTCTTTTCTGTTAAAATAAACAATGATTGTTAGGAGGAAACCAAGCAAAATTCCCTCCTAATCCGATACGACAGTGATCGTTGCAATTCATGTTTGGTTTATTTTATTCTCTCGTCAATTTATTCTGTTGTCTTATTAGAGAGGGCTTCATTGCCCAGCTCAGGCAGGTCTCACACGAACAGCCATCATCCTCTGAGGTGCTGGATTGCAAGTGTGGACTATCCCACCCTGTTGATGTTTGATTTATATGCGTCTTTAAAATGATTATACTGTTGGGGATTGAACCTAGAACCTCACGAGCGCTGGCCAAGTGTTCTCCCACTGAGTTCCAACCTCCGGTGGTTGATGTAAACCTCTCTTGCTCTTTAAGGAACACTTGTCTCTCAGTATCTGTGGGGGATTTGTTCCAGGATGCCCTGTGGGTACGGCAATCTGCAGATGCCCCAGATTCTTATACAGCAGGGGATAGCATGTCCGTATAACTTGTTTATCCAATCCTACACTTAAACCCTTTCTTTATTACTTACAATGTTTAGTCCAGTGGAAATTCTATAGTTCTTATACTTCCCTCTCTAGGGAACAATGACAAGAAAAATTATTTAATCATCCATTTTAATATGAATATGTTGCATAGACAGATCAAATATATAACAATTTCTTTTAGCGTTCTACACATTGCAAAGTTTGCAACCATGTGTATCATAGTTGACTGAATTGGGTTTATGTTTGTGACTTTTAGGGTTTTTCCTAGCCAGGGCTACGGTAAGCAGTCAGTCAGCAGATGTCTCTGATATACATTTTTTTATTCATGGTTTATTATTTTCTTAAAACTTCTAAATGGATTATTTGGCTTAAAGCATATTTATTGCTAGTTGTCCTTTAGAAAGCCTGGCTTAGGGGCCAAGGAGACAGCTCAGTCGGTGAAATGTTTTCTATGCAAGCATGAGGGACTGAGTTCAATCTCAGGCACCCACATCAACGAACCTGGATGTACTGGTGCACACCTATGGTCCCAGCACTGGGGAGATAGAGGCAGGAAGATCCCCAGGCTTGTGGGCCAGTCAGCCTATATGAACTGACAAGCTTTGGGTTCAGCGAGAGATTCTATAATGAAAAACAAGCTGAAAAGTGATTAAGAAAAACACATGTCAGCCACTGGCCTCCACATGTGAAAGCAGGGGTACTTGCACCTGCATTAACATACACACACACACCATACACACATATACACATACACATGCACACATACATACGCATACACACATACACATATGCATACATACATGCACACACAATACATACACATGCATACACACATACACATGCACATATACATACGCATACACACATGCACACATACATGCACACACATACATGCACACACACACAATACACACACATGCATACACGTGCACATATGCACACATATACGCATGCATACACACAATGCATATACGTATGCATACTCACACACATGCATGCACACATACAACACACGCATACACACATGCACATACCTGCATCATACATGCAAACACACATGTATACACACATGCATACACACACACACACACACACACTCAGGTTCAAAGCTGAGGGTGGTAGCACAGGACGGCATGGCAATCCTAGCCCTCATGAGCTAAAGCAGGAGGAACACAAATTTGAGGCAGGCTCAGCCTGGGCTACATATCAAGAGCCCACCTCTGAAACCAAACAAACTCCATTCGCTTCCCCCAAACCTCACAGATTCTGGTAAGGTTGTTTTTTCTCCTCCTTCGTCCTATCTTTAGACATCGTTTCTCACTTTGTCGCAGCCTTGGCCTAGAGATTGAACGAGCAGCCAGGACGACAGCGCCTCGGCACGAAGGTGTGAGCCAGCCCATTCGTGGCTCCGGCACCCAGAGCTCCCCTCCTTGCGCAGGCTGATTGAGTCATTGTTGTGGAGCAGAGTTTGCCATGGGCTCACCACTTTCCTTGCGTGCTGTGCGCTGTCTGGCTGCTGACATTTTATTTAATCATCCCCCAGCCTTACAGAACTATGAAAACATTGGCCATCTGTTCTGTACATAGCACATATACAGAAGCTTCCCTTCCCGCGTGCTCCAAGCTGTTTCCTTTAGATGCAGTCCGAGGGTTTGGGCCCATGTAGGAAAGCTATCGGTATAGCGGAGGCAGAGTTTTGAATTCTCCTTATCAGGTTCACCCCCCCCCTCCCCCGGGCACCTGGAGGAGGTCAAGGGAGAGCCCTCTTACACTTGCATGGTGTGGTTTTTCTATGGACTCCTGGAATAACGGGGGCTCTTGAGTTTTCTTTTGAACCAGGCTCTTTCATGTGAGTTGGAACTTTGAGCTGAGTCTAGCCAGAAAAAGAATAGGTAGTTAAGAAATGAGCAGACAAGCCAGGTGGTAGTGGCGCACGCCTTTAATCCCAGCAGAGGCAGGTGGATCTCTGGGAGTTTGAGGTCAGTCTGGTCTTCAAGAGCTAGTTCCAGGACAGGCTCCAAAAGACACAGAGAAACCCTGTCTCAAAAAACCAAAACCAAAAAAAAAAAAAAAAGAAAGAAAGAAAAAGAAAAAAGGAAGAAAGAAATGAGCAGACAAAACAAAACAAAACAAAAAACTCAGTTATGATGGAAAGAACTCAGTCAGAATGGGTGTAATTAAGTTCTGTCTTGTAAACAATTCTCTCTCTCTCTCTCTCTCTCTCTCTCTCTCTCTCTCTCTCTCTCATCCCCCAGGACAACCGGTGAAGACATCCATTCAGGAATCAGGAGCTTTTTTGCCTCCGGTAAAGAATAAATTCTCTGATTCGGTATTGTATACACAAGTATCTGCTAGAACACTGACATCCTAAAAAAAAAAAAAAAAGAAAGAAAAGAAAAGAAAAAAGAAAAAAAAACATCCAAAACAGATCTGAAAAATTTTTCGTGACAACTGGGTGCCTGTGTGTAATTCTGAGAACTCATTGGCCAGGGGCCTTGAATATAGTAGAGATTAAAAAAAAAAAAAAGATGTTCAAGTTGATGGCATGAATGAACTTTGGAATGCAGGGAGGTTCCAAGTGGCAGCTCGTGTCTCAGCCGGGTCACTGCTGGGCACCCATGGGCAGTGACACTGTGTTGAACTGTGTTGCGTCCTAGCTTTTATCTGGGCCGACAACCTCTTCTTAAGAGGAGGCGGTGAAAGGCTGTCGTTTGTACTGGCTTAGAAAGATGTGTCTTGTTACTGCTTTAGGCTTCCGTGAAGGCGCACGGCCCATCTTTCTTCTCTCTTCCAAATTTTCTTTATTCCGCAAAGCTAAGACCCATGTAAAGAGATGACGAGGCTTATTAATTAAAATTAAGCAAAAGCCGAAGCAGCTGTTTGCCTGAAACACATTCTCGGAACGGAGGGGAAAAAAAAACCCTGACATTAATGGGAAATGCCAGCTGAGATGACTTTAGGCCGTGTCTGTTGAGTGACTCACTTGCCAAAGGGATGCTTAAAACAGTCCAGAGGAGGAGAGGACACAGGAGGGAGACCTAAGGGAGCAGAGAGGTAGCCAGCATCTCTAATTACACCTGCCTTTCTTTGTAGCACATACATGAAGAGAGTTACAGGATGCAGAGCAAGCCCCTGGGTATCTGCTTGATCATCGATTGCATCGGCAATGACGTAGGTAGGTGCAGAAGCCACAGGTTAACGGCTTCCCTGCAGCGTGTTCACGACCAAGCAACTTGGGTTTGTTAGCACGGTAAATACTAGCTGCAATAACAAAGTACACTCTGTTACGATGTTCGCTTTTCTACTCCGTGTGGTCGGTCAGTTGGTGATTCCATCATCTTGGGGCCTTGGAGTCTTCTGCAGGGTCCTCTATGTGATTGACAGGTGAGAGGATAGAGACTGTGTTCCAGACCTGAGAGTGATGTCCCTCATCTCTACCCACATTCTATTGGTCAGAACTTAAACAAGTGGCTCAAGCTAACTACAACGGGCATAGATAAACCGGTCCAGCTATGTGTTAGGAGAAACAGGAGATGAACGTGGGGAGCAGAAGTTATGTCGTGGTAGTTGGCGTGTCTTTAGTCTACCTGTGCATCCTGGGTTTTATTCGTCAGGGTCATCCAGGGGCATTTATAACGAGAGGCATTCTGGTTTCTAGTATTATCTGGTGTTTCAGCTTTTCGTCATGAAAGCCTTCCTTGGGGCCATTAAAAGCATTCTGTCTGTGTTTGCTTAGAGGGCTGTGAGGAGTGTTTGAGCCACACGTGGCTTTAATCTATCTGCGAGGCATCGTCATCTGGATCTGAATTGTTTTGCTCAGTTGTTGTATGTATGACTGGACCGCTGGCCATAGATCAAGAGGGAAGGAGGGGGAGCCTAGACGCAGGAATAACTTCCCGTTTAATCATGAACTGGTGGCAGTTCATGGCTTTCGTGCCTCTCAACGTTCCTTAGCATGAGTCAGAGATGACTCGCTCAGAACATTACCATGTGAGAAGAGAGGCTAAGAGAGGCTCAAGTTAGCAAATATGAAACTATGTTTTCCAGGATTTCAGCTACGATCCCACTTCCTCGTGTTCTGTTTTTGGTAGGTATGAGGAACGTGTCCTTTCCTTTTATACTGGTTTGAATGAAAATGGCCCCAATAGGCTCGTATTTGAAAGTATGGCCTTGTTGGTGGAGGTGTGTCACTGGGGTGGGTTTGGGGTTTCAAAAGTCCACACCAGGTTCGGTGTCTCGCTGCTTACTGCCTGTGAGTCAGGACGGTTACTCTCAGCTGCCGCCCTAGTAACATGCCTGTCTGCTTGCTGCCATGATGATGGTGGGCTAACCTTCTGAAATACTGAGCAAGCCTCCAGTCAAATGCTTGCTCTACAGCACAGCAGTAGAGGCCCTACCTCTAAGATACCATTTTTTTATGGTACTATGTTAGCATTCATATCAGGAATGGGGAAATAGTTTCTTAATGAGTCATTTACTGTTCTAAAGGACACGGTGGAATTGTCCTTTGATTTTTTGATTGTAATCAGCCCCGTTTCATTCACCAGGAAATATCTGAGACAAGCTGTCCCTCTGTTTATATCGAAGGACTCACAAAGATTAACCCATTGTAACCAAACCACGCCTGTTATTCATGACTCCCACCCAATGCCTGACTGAGTTCTGTTGCTGAGTCGTAGGCTGGGGCTAAATGCAGACCTGTATTTCTCCAATTATAGGGGTGCGTCAGAGTTGGGCACTGGTATGTGATTGCCCAGACTTGAATCACGGCTCTGTCATATCTTAGCTTGTACGTTGGGCTCAGCATCTCTGCTGTAACATCCCTCATGTGATTGTTAGGAGGATGAGCGAGGTTATACTCATAAAGGGTGTAGGACGGTGCCTGGAACAAGCCCACTGACATTTTTCTTATTCTTAATAAAAGTTGGTTTAACTTTAGTGTGTTAAGCTGTAAACACCATGGCTTGGCATTTAGTATGTTGAGTCTGCTCTTAGATGAGTAAGGGGAACAGAGGGTTTGAGGGCTATGCTGGGCTCCCGTGTAAGTGGGGCCCATCCCCACGTGTGGGCACAGAGGAACGGAGGCAGTTACTTCAGAGGGAACAAATTTCAAGCAGAAATCTCAGAAAGTATGGAGACACCCGACATTGACCTCTGGCCTTAACACATGCACACATCTGTACTTGTACATATATATGATCGCACAGGCACACACACACTCAATCTCGCACACGCATGTGCACACAGAATGGAGTTCCAGGCTGCAGGTCCCCAGTGTCATCCCTTGCAAGGTCAATGTCTTGAAGGTGGAGTGGGGCTGGCCCTACAGAAAGGGCAGTTAGGGATTCATCGCTACCTCCCCCGCCAGGAGAGAATCAGGGTTCTTTTGACTCACGTGCTCTTTGTCCCTGAGGGTAAAGCAAATAACTGGACTGGAGGTCACTTATGGAACCTCCCAGCCCAACTGGCCACTCGGCAGGTAAGAAACAAAGTGGTATAGCTTTGCTCAAATTGTGCTGTGCTCTTGTGAGCTGAGAGAACCCAGATCCCTTGGGAGGCTCAGCTGGGCGGGCATGCATCACCTGAAGTAGAAGGACAGTGAGGACAGGCTCCTCACCCACACCAGCTCTGCACCTCCAGCTCTGTGTTCACATGCTCCTCCTGGGACTTTCCACTGAGGCCTCTAGGGCTGGGCTCCTGCTTTGGTGCAAAGACTCTCCGTTGCTTCTTCCCCATCTCATTAGCCCTAGAGCCCTCCATCTTCGAGTTGTTTTGTGGGACTTCCTCTGTCAGGGGAATTTTGCCAACTGGCTAATGGTTAACATCTGGCAGATGTGCAGGGGTTAGATAGCAATCAAGCGGACAAGATCATTACCAGTTGAAACCAAGGTTCTGAATGAAATCAGAAGAAGATAGACAATCAGAGATCCTCAAATCCTTAGTGTCATCCTTTGCATACAACAGATACTTTGCTAATGTTGGATAATGTGGATACTTTGTTAACGGCAGATACTTTTTCAATGGCAGATTCTTTGTTAATGGCAGATTCTTTGTTAATGTTGGATACTTTGCTAATGTTGGATACTTTGCTAATGTTGGATACTTTGTTAATGGCGGATACTTTGTTAACGGTGGATACTTTGCTAATGGTAGATACTTTGTTAATGGCAGATACTTTGCTAATGACTTTGCATGGGTGGTCATATACCGAAGAACTGAGGTTCTGAAACTTGTCTGTGAAACCCATGCTGCTAGCCACTTTGCATGGATGGGAGAGGGAAGAGCTCATCTGTTTGTCTTGCTCTATGTCACCGGCAGCTGAACAAGTGCCACGCACACAGGTGCTCAGTAAATATTTGCTGAAGGGGTGTGGGTGATGGAGTGGTTCCCGAAGGGTGCTTGTGATGGAGTAAGCTCTCCTATAATGTGTGTTTCAGAACCGGCCCTTGAATAAGCATTAATTAGAGTTTAATAGAGTCTCTTGGACTTCTCTCCTCCTTTTAGCCTATCCCTGCCTCACCCCCCAATCAGACTTTTAACTAAAGACCATACAAATTCCCTAAATATTTATCGGCATATTATTGTCTCTGTCTGGTAAATGCCTACTAAGGATGTCTTACAAACAAAGTATATGCTTGACCCCACACAGAACACATTTGAGGTGGATTCTGTCTCAGAGCCAGTGAGAAAAGATGAGGTTACTTTTCGGTGGATCATTTTTGAAAAGAATCCTCCTAGTCAATGACCTCTTCGTGGGGTGGATCGCAGTGCTGAAGGATTTTGGCTTCAGTCAGTTTGGTGGAGTTCAAGCAAACGTCTCTGATGTCCAGGCAACTATGCCAGTCACCTAACAAAGGTTGGGTCTTGGTTGGTGAGCTGTGTGTTAGCCTGGTTCTTTCTAGGCGTGCAGAAGCAAGTGTCTCCAATCACTGGCAGGTAGACACGAGGCCTGGTTTAAGTCTCTGTCTGTCTTGGGGCTTCCTGTATATATGACAGCGTTTGCAGATTTTTAAGAGGAAACATCTTTTCCTTTGCTATATTTGATATTTTTGTCACGCTTTCACTGACTAAGACGTGTTTTCTAGCAGACACTGCAGTTTCTACTGGGTTGTTGTGTGAAGAGACTTCCCCTTCTGGCAGTGACAGGCTAGGGACCTGCTCCATGCCTCCTTTTGAGGGTTTTCTTTCTAATGGAACTTGCTGAACCTTGAGTGAGCATCGTTTTTTTGTAGTAACGTTTATATAATAGGAACATTTCTGCAAAAGGAAGTGGAATACTCACTGTGACCTCTGCTCTTGGGACAAATGACATGCAAAATGGTAGAGAGATGCTTTGTTCAGAGGGACAATAGACAAGCCCTTCCAGCCCCTCCTGGGCTCATGGGGTCAGGGTCCTGTGGATAGCTTCCTCCTGGGAACAGGAGTGTGTGATGAGGTATTTTGTGTTTTCTGGGTATTTCTATCCTCTGGGCCCAAGGAAATATTTGCTTAAAAACTTAACATTAAGTCAGGCAGAGGTGGTGCAGCACTCGGGAGGCAGAGGCAGAGGCAGGCAGATCTCTGTGAGTTCAAGGTCAGCCTGGTCTACAAGAGCTAGTTCCAGGACAGGTTCCAAAGCTACAGAGGAAACCCTGTCTCGGAAACATTGTTAGTGGGATTTCTCTTTAATTCCCTCGTCTCAGCAGCCCCCATTCTAGGAAGCACAGAAGGAATACCAGCCCATGCTGGAGGCCCTTCTACTTTAGAATTTCAAAAGGTAGTGTGCTCCATGTCCTAGGGTTGAGGTTAGCCCCTTTGGTTGAGGGTAGACCCTTTGGTAGGTACGTTAGCATGTCACTTGCAGACAGCGCAGGGATCCACACGTGGTAAGATAAGCCTCTTTGGCTCCTGACAGGCTTCACCAGAAAGTGAGCTGGCAGACAGGCATGGAAGGTTTTTGAGTGTTTGCAATGCTGGAATTATGGATAAGGTGTTACAGGTATATACAACCAAGTACTGTCAGCTCTCTTGGGGCTGGTTTGTGTAGCCTTGATATTATTGTCTCCTGATATAAGGGAGTCTGGGAAGAATTTACCAGCGGTTGGTTCTGCTTACTAACGAGTCTTAAAAGGTAGTCTATAACCTTAAGTGTGTGCTTGGGCAGTGATGCCTTAGCTGGGCTAGCAGAGCAAATGC